GCAATAAATTTCTCTTTGTGAAAATCAATAAAATCTTATCATATATCTTTCGTTTGGTCTTTTTATGTGATCATTATATGTCATGGTCCCTGTTCTGGTTGCAGTATTTCCCCTTCTATCATCCTTCTGATTAAATTGTTTGGTGTGATTTTAGTAAAATTGTGTGACTTGTGAGGAAATAGAGCCCTGTGTATTACATTTATAATTTATCACGAATTTGATATTTGGAGGGGAACGATTCTGAGCCTGGATGTGGGTACTTCGCCGGAGCTCTGGTGTGTGGCTTGCTCCTTCTTTCCTATCAAACATTTTATCATCTCTCTAAATCTTCCCCCCTTTTTTATGTTTGTTTCTCTCTTGTAACACCTCTAATCTTCGGGACTTTAAAAATATGACTCTTTCTGCAGCATTTCTACTGCTACTCTTTGGTTTCTTCATACTGCTGTCTTTCAGCCACACCCCTGGTCTTCTGGTAGGGAAGGTCTACACCTAGCCTTCTTGGACAAGGGCGAAAAATCTCGGAGATCACATGTGCAAGTTGCGCACTTTAAAGATCCCTTGGTGGTCTAAAATCGATAAAAGAAGGCTTTGACCACCACCCGGGCAAAATTCTAAATTTCTTATCAACTGAAAATGTTTAATGTGTCCCACGAGCTCATATGACTCAGAAAACATGGCTGGAACTGGAACGGAAGCTCACGTGCAAACTATACGGATTCACCCCAGCCCGAAGATGAAGAAACCTGTGAAAAGGTTGTGAAACTGACTTGTAAATTGGGAGAAGTCACACCATAGCATAACCCCTTGGGGGAGGGAGGGGGGGTGGGGTTATGTCGTTAGCTTAGTACCCAGCGATTAATCTGAGCTATGGCGCAGATGACCTGTGTGCTGTAGCGGTTAGGTAGGCACTTCGCTGTCGCAAGAGGAAAGACTCGAGTTTGATTCTCGCGTGGGGGGAAATTTTTTAAAAAATCGAATGTCTCACTCTATCTGCTGGGACGTTATATCCCTCCCAGCCCAGCCCAGATTGTTCATCATAGGGAAGGTCGCAACTTGTCTCTCAAAAGATCTTAATTGTGTCGATGGAGATGTAAAACTTCTAAATTAAGAAAACAAAACAAAACAACAACAACATCGGATGCAGATGGCCCTGGTTCGTATCCCCATATTACTCACCACTGTCCCCGCGATTTTATTCAAAACAAATTCTGAAATTATGCAGACTGAGCCCAAAGCATGTGAAATTATGCGATTCTGTTAATTTTAACAAAGAATGATAGAGGAAAATAATCAGAAATAGTGCCCCCCCAAAAAAGATCAAATTTTGCTAAATTATGCGGGGTGCATAAAACCGCGGGGACGAAATATTACAGTGAGGTGTTGTGAACTTATGGAGTGAGTGGAGTCTCCGAGGCTCCCTATCTGCTTATAGTATAGTTTTTATAGTAGAGGGTTTTACGGCGCTCGAAGATGCATAAGGTCATAAATATGAGCGCGCGGGACACATTTAATACTTTTAGTTGGTAGGGAATTTTGAATTTTGCCCGGGTGGCGGCCGAAGCCTACTCTGATCGATTTTAGACCACCAGGGGATCTTTCATGTGCGCAACTTGCATACGGGTCCTCCAAGATTTTTCGCCTTTCTCCGAGAAGGCTAGGTGTAGATCTTTCCTACCAGAAGATCAGGGGTGTGGCAGAAAGACAGCTGTAAGAAGGAGTCAAGGAGTAGCAGTAGAAAGGCAGCAGAAAGAGTCAGAAGCTCAGAGGATGGGACAAAGTAGGTGAGGGGGTGGGGGCAGAAAGAGGAGACGAAAGCAGACGACAGAATATTGCTAGAGAGCAGGAAAGGA